AGTTGATGGTCTGTTCCACAATCAGCTCCTGGCCTGGTTTTGGCTGAAGATATTGAGCTTTTCCACTCCCTCTTGCCACAGATATGGTCAATTTGATTCCTGTGTGTTCCATCTGGTGAAGTTCACATATACAGCCACCATTTATGTTGTTGAAAAATGGCTTATTTAAGGCACAAAAAATTAATTTCATTAAAACCAGTAGAAGAAAAGAAAGCAATATCATCTAGCCACAAAGTTGAAAGACAGAATGAATTTGGAGTTTACTCAGCTTCAACTTTTAGGGTTTTTTTGTTTTTTTTTCAAAATGTGAGCATATATGTCATCCATCCCATTGGATTCCTGACTGATTGGATGGAAAGAAACTGATAACCAGTACTTGAGGGTTTGGGAAAATAATTAGAAGTACAGAGTTATAAATCAAACAGATTTGTAATATTTACATATTGGATCCCTCAAGATCCAGAAGTGGTCTCAGAGAAGAACAATTTTAGCTAATATACAAATGAGGAGCCTAATTCTGTTGTTCCACATATGGGCTTTAAAAAAGACCTCTCTACCACTAAGTTGATTCCGACCCATAGCAACCTCCATTTGGCTTCCAAGGAGGTTAATCTTTACAGAAGTAGATTGCCCCATCATCCTTCCAAGGAGTGGCTGGTCAGTTTCAATTGCCAACCTTCTGGTTAGCAGTCAAATTCCTTAGACTTTGAACCACTAGAGCTCCTTCATCTTTGGGCTTAGACACCTATTATTCCTTTTGCTTGGAACTTCTGTCTTCCCTCTCTATTCTTTTGGAAGTTCTTCTCTCTTACCCTGGACTTTCAGCACTTATTGATCTATATTCTTCCTATATAATTTCCAGACTGTTCTCTAAGGGCAGAAACTGTGTCAGTCTTATTTACTATTTTTTATTATTATTATTGTGATTTGGATGAGAACTTACAGAGCAAATTGGTTTTCCATTTAACGATTGATATATATTTTGTTTTGTGACATTGATTGCAATTCCCACAAGGTAACATCACTCTTCCCACTTCTGCCCTGTGTTCACCATTTCCATTTGTACTCCTTACCTATCTCTTCCCGGCTTCTGAGTTTTATCCCTGAGAAAATATTGTCCTTTTGATCTCATACAGTTGATTGTTCTAAGGGGTACTATCTCCCTAGTATTGCTGCTCACCTTCTAGAGCTGCCCATTATTTGGCTGAAAGTTGAGCCACAGGAGTAAGTTCAGTTGCAGGTTTGAAGGGTGTGTAAGGCCCATAGTCTTGAGGGTTCCACCAGTCTCTATCAGACCAGTAAGCCTGGCCTTGTTTATGATTTTGACTTCTGGTCCACATTTCTCCTGTAATCTATCCAAGACTCTTATTGCAATTCTTTTCAGCATGGTCAGCAAAGGTAGCAGGGTGCCATCTAGTTCTTCTGGTCTCACAGTCATGGACCTTATTCATGATTAAATCCTAGTGCCTACCATAATGGAAGTTATGCCACAATATATGTAAAATGTAGCTATAAGAGGTTAGTCATGACTGAACTGCAGAAATCATGTTAATGCCATGGAAAAGCCACTTCTTTGATTAGTCCCTTGTGTTAGAAAGGAAGTACCCTCAGTGGTTTGTCAACTAAACAAGCATCTTACCAGGCTCTGGCATGGTCCAAGCTTCACACTTGAAGTGCTCACTGGGATCTGACGGCTGCCCTATCCCAACCAGGTTGGTTGCAGCAATTTTGAATTCATATAATGAGCCTTCTGTCAAGCCGTCCACCTATTTAGATATTTTTAAATTAATATATGAAATAAAAGACATATTAACAATCCCTTGAGAAAAGGAGTATTTGTGATTGATTTATAAAATAAAACATGACCTCCTCAGCATATTAAACTACATAACTTAAAGATGACCATTTATATGCCTGTTATATTGCAGTCACTTAGCTTAGCCCTTACATATTTTATTTCATTCAGCCCATACAGTCTATGTATGAGAATGACATGATAATTTCCTTTTGGCAGATAATGAAACTGAAGTTTAGAGAAATGAAATCTGCAAAGAGAAAACAGAAGAGCAGAGTGTGAATTGAGCCCATGTCAAAAGCCCATGTCTTTTCCCCTAAGCACCATGTACAATCTTTGGATTAGTGGGAAGAAACCCTTAGACTGGAGATGGGGAAACCTCCTTTCTAGACCTGCGGCATTATTGTGCAATACTGGAGAAATCTGTCGACTTAGGCCTATAAAGTAAATATGCTTATTGGATACAGAGGTTTCTTAGGTTTCTAAAAGACAGTGCTGAACAGCCACATTAGAAGGTCTCTGGATATATTTGGCCTAGAATATAATACAGAAAACATAGGAAATGTCTTTTGATCAAAACTGTTAACCTTGATTCACAGTAGGGTTAGTAGGAAGAAAAGTAATATCAAGATAACCATTATCTCTAGAAAAAAATGGAGAGGTTCCAAGCAAAAGTTTTTAAGGTTGAACAGATTTATCTTCTGAAAGACAAAGTTCATTCTTTTTTCCCCCCACAGTGTAACAGCTCTCTTCCCATTTGCTCCCAGTAGTTGCCCTTTTATTCCTGCCTCCTTATCATTCTCCTTGTGCAAATGATGTCTTTCTGTTCTCTCATGGTTGATTGTTCTAAATGTTTGCATTCTTTTTATGAAAGACGCTAGCATTCAGAAAGTATAGAAACATTTTTCTCAGGAAGATAATGGAGCTCTGGTTGTATAGTGCCTAAGGCACTGCTAACCAGAAGGCTGGTGGTTCAAACCCGCCAGCCACTCCTTGGGAGGAAGATTGGGTAACCTACTTCCATAGAGATACTGCCTGGGAAACCCAAGGAGGAGTCACTATGAGTTGAATCAACTTAGTATTAGTGAGGTTTTTTTTGTTTGTTTGTTTTATAGAACATTTAAGCATAGTAAAGTAGTAGAGTTTGAGCATAGGGAAAATATCAATACTGTCACATAAAACTTTAATTTTGAAGAAATATTACTATATTATTAAAAAGAATTCTCTGTAAGACCAAAATTATCCTCTCTAAGAACCCCTAAACAACTCTCATTTTATAACTTAAGCAATTCATATAAAATAGATGTCACTCCATTGTGGTAATGAGTTACTATTTATCCAATACTTACTACAAGCCAGATACCATATTAAATACTTCTTATTTGTTTCAACAACATATCAAAAAAAATGAACCCCAGCCTCCATATCCCTGAAACAAGAACTATGTGATACCTGGCTACCACTATTGAGTGCTCAGAAAGGGACCACAATAGGAAGTCATGGATAGAGTGGGACAAAAAGTGGAACAAAGGTCAATAATTAAAAAAAGACTAGGCTTACTGATCTGATAGGGACTGATGGGATCCCTGAGACGATGGCCTTTAATTAACCTTCAAGAATGGAACTGAACTCACTTCCATGGCTCAACTTTCAGCCAAACAACAGAGAGGTCTATAAGGTGAGCAATACCAAGATGGTATGCACCTCTTAGAAGAAACAACCATACAAAATCAAAAAGGAGCCTTTGCTGGGTGAGAAATCTCAGAAAGCAGGGAGGGATAGGAAAGAAGGATGAATGGAAGTGGTAAACACAGGGAGGACATAGGAATAATGCTATTCCTTTGAGAAGATTGCAATCAATGTCACAAAACAAGATGTGTATGCATTGTTGAATGGAAAACCAATTAGCTTTGTAAGGTTTCACCTAAATCACAATAAAAAGTTAAAAAAAAAAATTGAGGTAAAATTAAGCACTTTAAGCACATTGTTCAAATAAAGAATCAAAGACTCAAAAAAATCTATTATCTTCTAAGAATTTGAGTATGGATTTGATTCCAGTTGTTTATTACTCTAAATCAACATTCTTTCTATCTACTTTCCAGCAGGGTGTAATATGTATTTAGGCAAATGACTTACTCAGAAGTTTGATATACATTCATTTATAGATAAATGATTGATAATAGGTAGGGAAGTAACATCATTCTTTAAGTCAACACTTGCTAAGCACCTGCTTTACCAACCAGGCACTACAGTGTGTGTGTGTGTGTGTGTGTGTGAGCTGCCATCCAGTCAGCCCCTGACTCATACACAACACACCAAGAATGAAAAAGCATGTAAGAGACTGTCTTCAAAGTGTTTAGCTTAGCAAAAATGGACTCGCAATGGGACATGGGAGACTGGGTGCTAATCAAAGCAGTGTCCTTAACTCATCGTTAAACCTGATCAAGTTCTCTGCTTCTTTATCTCTTCTAAGAAAAAAACTAAAGAATGGTTAATAAAATCTTTTAGGTTCTAAAAATCTGTGATACTAAGAATTTTTAAAAAATGTATTTTTATTTCTGTATCAACTTATCTAATTTCATCAAACTCTGAAATACTCTACCCAAAATGTAAAAGCACATAGGTAAAAATAAATAAACAAAAACCAACCATAAAGATTCTCTCTTTAACAGGTGAAGAATTGACCTCATGCCAATTTTTATGATGTGCTTCACGCTTATCTATAAAATACCCAAGGATTGCTGCACCACCACTGAACTTTGGCACCTTCCAACCGAGAGTCATAGAATGACCATCACAGTTGAGCAGTGTAATCCCATATGGATGAGATGGAACAGCTACAAATAAAAACAAGCAAGAAAGTTACCCAGAATTTCAGTTAATATTCTTTATCCCTCCATAGTGTCAATTCCAGCCTTAAGAGGGTCAACTGAGCCATGGCCTGAATACTTGCTGAGCCCTCTATTTCTTTCCTGCTCTACCTTTTTACCGTCTTTATTTATAACTTATCTTTTATCAAAAATAAGTTGTCTAAAAAGTTTTCCTATTTCTAAATACATCCTTTCAGTATTCCAATCTTTGAGGGCAATGAATTGTGTTAATCTGATGTGGCCATTTGAAACAATGAAAAACCTTCCCCTTAGAGAAAATTTCGAGAAGGAAATTTCTCCTTCAAAACCGTGAAGAATAACAACTTTTTATCTGATGGTCAATGATGATGAATATCATCATTTAGGCTAGTAGTTTCAATTTTCTACATATTTATAGAAATTTCAAATTAATTTAAATGAATATGAGCTTATATTTCCCCTTTTTCAGCATCATATTTGAAAATAGGCAATCTTCCCCTAACAGGTTGAGAAAGTGTCTTTTCTTTTTCCCCTGACTCTGAGTAACCTAAATATGGGCTAACTCTGTTACCAGAGATAAATGTGAGCTGGAAATAAGCTATTTTTATTATGCAATAAACATTGAAATGACTGGCATTTCTTTAGTAGGAATGACTTTAAAAGGTAAATGGGAATATTTGAAAGTTTCTTTTGAGAAAAATTGAGAGGAGATTTGAATAGTGACCTTAAAACAAACGTTATTGCTTTTTGGTAATTATGCACACTTACATATTGGATTTGACATTCCTTGGCAAATACAAGCTGGCAATACTTGTTATCTTCTAACAAGAATAGTGTTAGAAGAGAAATCTTAATTTCTGGAAATGTTTGTAAATTTAATTGGAGACACCCCCCCCCCAAAAAAAAAAAAAAAAAAAAAAGTTGAAGACCAAAAGATTTTTCTTAGAAGTGAAATGATATCACTGTGTTTCAAACATGTTTCAAACATGTTTCAAACATGTTTTATGTTATCTGTGACATTAGTGCTTCAAAATGTTCCAGAATATATTTAGGGAATGTAGTGTGTTTAATAGTAAAGAACAAGAGCAACAATTACAAAATATAGAGCTTTATGGATCAACTTCTCTATGGACCCTCACTGAGATTTAGGATTTGAATTGTGCAGTTTGATCAAATTAATGATAGTTTCAAAACATCATTATTTATTAGCAAAACCACAAGTTATATTTACATTTGAACTTCTCAGAAATAATTTATTGAAGTTTCTTGAACTATAGCTTAAAAGGCCATTGATGTTGTGCTATTCTGCATACATTTTGAGAAGAGAACTCCATACCCTATAACATATATTTTAATGTGCGTACAGGTGTTTGGAAACAAATGTGACCTGTAATAATATTTTCTACTTTTAATTCCAATTTTACTAGCATATTATCATTTCTCCTTCTCACACTGGCATTTGCAATTGATGAGAGGTTTCAACAGAATTGCATGTTCTTTGTTCAACAATTTACATCCACTTTTTTTCTCTGGTAATATTCTAAATGGCATCATAAATGTTTATTCATGCAGAAATTAAAATGTACTGGAGTACTAAAAATTGGAGCTGAATAGCATATGAATTACTTACTGAGGGCAGCCTGGACTTTTATGATGTCAGACTCCTGTGAATTTTCACTTGTCCCAACAGCATTAACAGCTTTAACTCGGAAGATGTATTGCTCACCAGTAGTTAAGCCATGTACAACGAACCTGAAAAAACATGAATCAGGGCCATAGTTTCAATGTGCAATTTTTTATTCCTCCCACAGAAAAATTAGAAATCATTCTGTAGACTTCGTTTAAAAAAATTTCACTTGAACTAAAACAAAGTTTACTTTCTAAATGAGTTATACAGGTACTATACATCTGTTTTCATTTTCACTTTTACTTAATTAATTTAAATCTATGTTCCAGGACCAAAACATAAGATCACAACACCCAGTTATAATAGAAGCTGAATGAAGTAAGTTCACCTCCCAGATGTGGATTGCCAGTGGCTGGATCTGTGCCTAAGAGTATAGAAACAAAACCTTCACCACTCCCAAGTGACATTGTCACCTTGTCTGTGACTCCCCTTTCATTTTACTTTTTCTAGGTTTTGATTAAATCAAAGTTCTCTTAT